CCGGAAAGGCCTCCGGGCCACCAGTAATCCTTCATTAAAAAAAAGGGTTTTACCAATAAACAACGCGAAAGAACGCGTCATAAAAAGAACGTTTTGACACAAGGCCTTAGCAAAGGTCATTGCACTTGAAAGTACTAAATAACAAGATAAAATAAATTACAGAACATACAGAAATACTCTAGAACATTAATTTCGACATTAAAAATTTATATCCTAGTTGACATACACCGTTGGCAATGACAACAGCTAAACGATAAGGTTGTTTGTAAGTTGTTCATACATTAGAGATAGTAATGTAATAATAGCAATCCGAACATTTGTTAAGAGGTAGTTCTGCAATCGATACATCGATAAGATAATATATTTCAATTAATATCGCACAAGGTTCTTCTTTCACAACTTTTTCGCAAATCTTGTTGTTCATTCGGATGATGTTTTTATTCGTGTTTGCACGTTTGACAGTATCTATCTATATATATAAAAATGAATTGCTGTTCGTTAGTCTCGCTAAAACTCGAGAGCGGCTGGACGGATTTGGCTAATTTTGGTTTTGAATTATTTGTGGAATTCCAGAGAAGGTTTAAAAGGTAGATAAATATGAAAATGCACGGAATTAAATAAAAATAAACAATTTGGTTTTTCCTTTGATATAGATCCCCCGTCGGACGGATTCCTTTTGTTTGTTTTAAGTTTATTTTATACAAAAGCTTAGGTCTTTTATTTATCGATTGAGGCACTACGAAGTCTGCCGGGTCAGCTAGTAATCTAATAATAATGTATGTGGAAACGCCCTAAGGATCTGTGTGACCAAACGACAAAAAACAGTATCCCGTCTTCGTGTCGAATAACAGCCATTTTATGGTTTAAGCGACATTTCGTTTCGGTTAATACGCGATATTTATCCCTGTAATTAAAGGTCCGTTTTATTTGGTATTAATATAAAAAATCGATATTTTAAATTGAACTACAAGAATGATGTTGAACATGTTCACATAGCTGAAGAAGTTATTTTTATGACTTTTTGAGGTGACAACGTCTTATAATTCGATGGAGCCGGCTGCACGCACGAAAAAACATGACTCATGCGGCGTTATCTCGCTCTGAGGCGTTCCATTTAAGGTTTGAAGTGCAAGCGAGAGCGCGCAACGAGCGACAAAGAGGCACAATCGGCCTCCGCGTTCGNTTGCACTTGAAAGTACTAAATAACAAGATAAAATAAATTACAGAACATACAGAAATACTCTAGAACATTAATTTCGACATTAAAAATTTATATCCTAGTTGACATACACCGTTGGCAATGACAACAGCTAAACGATAAGGTTGTTTGTAAGTTGTTCATACATTAGAGATAGTAATGTAATAATAGCAATCCGAACATTTGTTAAGAGGTAGTTCTGCAATCGATACATCGATAAGATAATATATTTCAATTAATATCGCACAAGGTTTTTCTTTCACAACTTTTTCGCAAATCTTGTTGTTCATTCGGATGATGTTTTTATTCGTGTTTGCACGTTTGACAGTATCTATCTATATATATAAAAATGAATTGCTGTTCGTTAGTCTCGCTAAAACTCGAGAGCGGCTGGACGGATTTGGCTAATTTTGGTTTTGAATTATTTGTGGAATTCCAGAGAAGGTTTAAAAGGTAGATAAATATGAAAATGCACGGAATTAAATAAAAATAAACAATTTGGTTTTTCCTTTGATATAGATCCCCCGTCGGACGGATTCCTTTTGTTTGTTTTAAGTTTATTTTATACAAAAGCTTAGGTCTTTTATTTATCGATTGAGGCACTACGAAGTCTGCCGGGTCAGCTAGTAATCTAATAATAATGTATGTGGAAACGCCCTAAGGATCTGTGTGACCAAACGACAAAAAACAGTATCCCGTCTTCGTGTCGAATAACAGCCATTTTATGGTTTAAGCGACATTTCGTTTCGGTTAATACGCGATATTTATCCCTGTAATTAAAGGTCCGTTTTATTTGGTATTAATATAAAAAATCGATGTTTTAAATTGAACTACAAGAATGATGTTGAACATGTTCACATAGCTGAAGAAGTTATTTTTATGACTTTTTGAGGTGACAACGTCTTATAATTCGATGGAGCCGGCTGCACGCACGAAAAAACATGACTCATGCGGCGTTATCTTGCTCTGAGGCGTTCCATTTAAGGTTTGAAGTGCAAGCGAGAGCGCGCAACGAGCGACAAAGAGGCACAATCGGCCTCCGCGTTCGGCAGCGTTCGACATCTGTCTCTCTCCTACTTGAGTGAGCGATGCATCCGCGTGGACAGCTGCTATACAATAATACATTTACATGTTTTCGTCAAGTATGAAGTTCAGTGAAAAGTGAATGTGGTGTCAATTGTTTATAGCAACGATAATTGCGATAATTGAAAAATGAAACCATTCCATCAGTATTTTCTTATGACGTTGTCACGTTCAACTATCGTCAGTAAACCGACTTTACAGACAACCGATTTTTTTTTTCCAAATTTAAAACTTTAAATGGCTTCCCTGTGATGTTGCGAAAGTATCGCTTAAACCAAATAGCTTTTTAACTGTCGATATGGTGTCGAGATTTCCAAAAGGTAATGTTTAGGAGCAAACATGTGATGGATAGATGAAGAAAATTTCCATGATTTTGCCGGTATTTCCGCTTCTAAAATCATGATTGTAACTAAGTAAACGACAACAAATTTTATTAATTCACGTTGTGTACATCGAATTTTATCCGTGAACTTTTATCCCGGTTACGGAACCCTTTTCGTGGAATGTCCGCCTTGCCCTTGTCCGATTTTTTTATCGCATTTTTCTATCTTACGAAGACACATTCCACGGTGATTATTATGTGTTTGATCCGCTTTAAAAAAAGGTTTATTACCTGTTATCGGTCTGATGTCACAAATAAAANAATCGGCCTCCGCGTTCGGCAGCGTTCGACATCTGTCTCTCTCCTACTTGAGTGAGCGATGCATCCGCGTGGACAGCTGCTATACAATAATACATTTACATGTTTTCGTCAAGTATGAAGTTCAGTGAAAAGTGAATGTGGTGTCAATTGTTTATAGCAACGATAATTGCGATAATTGAAAAATGAAACCATTCCATCAGCATTTTCTTATGACGTTGTCACGTTCAACTATCGTCAGTAAAGCGACTTTACAGACAACCGATTTTTATTTTTTTTCCAAATTTAAAACTTTAAATGGCTTTCTTGTGATGTTGCGAAAATATCGCTTAAACCAAATAGCTTTTTATCTGTCGATATGGTGTCGAGATTTCCAAAAGGTAATGTTTAGGAGCAACACATGTGATGGATAGATGAAGAAAATTACCATGATTTTGCCGGTATTTCCGCTTCTAAAATCGTGATTGTAACTAAGTAAACGACAACAAATTTTATTATTATAATATATATTATCCGTGAACTTTTATCCCGGTTACGGAACCCTTTTCGTGGAATGTCCGCCTCGCCCTTGTCCGATTTTTTTTATCGCATTTTTATATCTCACGAAGACGCATTCCACGGTAATTATTATGTGTTTGATCCGCTTTAAAAAAAGGTTTATTACCTGTTATCGGTCTGATGTCACAAATAAAACTTCATCATATGCGATACGTCAATATAGACGTTGATTATGGTTGTCAACGCTAAAAACAACAAAAAACAAAGAAACAAAAGTGTACAAAAAAATGTAATTTACACAAGACTAAATAGAAGCAAGCTAGTTCTGTAGATTTTTTTCAGCAGACCATGAAAAAAGTAAAAGTATTATGCCTTTTAAATTTTTTATTGCTTAGATTGGTGGATGAGCACACGGCCCACCTGGTGTTAAATGGTTAACGGGACCCATAGACATCAACAACGTAAATGCCTCCACTCGTCTTGAGACATTTTTTTTTTTTTTTTTTTTTTTTTTTCTTTTATTGCTTAGATGGGTGGACGAGCTCACAGCCCACCTGGTGTTAAGAGGTTACTGGAGCCCATAGACATCTACAACGTAAATGCGCCACCCACCTGAGATATAAGTTCTAAGGTCTCAGTATAGTTACAACGGCTACCCCACCCTTCGAACCGAAACGCATTACTTTCACGGCGGAAATAGGCGGGGTGGTGGTACCTACCCGTGCGGACTCCCAAGAGGTCCTACCACCAGTGATTACGCAAATTATAATTTTGCGGGTTTGATTTTTATTACACGATGTTATTCCTTCACCGTGGAAGTCAATCGTGAACATTTGTTGAGTACGTATTTCATTAGAAAAATTGGTACCCGCCTGCGGGATTCGAACACCGGTGCATCGCTACACACGAATGCACCGGACGTCTTATCCTTTAGGCCACGACGACGAGAATCTAGAGACTAAGCCTAGATCTAAAGACATGAGTTCTAAAGTTTCAGTTTTTGTAGTGCAATGGCTGCCCTTATTGTTCAAACTAAAACGCATTACTACTTCACTGCAGAAATGGGTAGAGTGGTTTTACCTACCCGTGCGGACTCACAAGACGTCCTACCACCAGTAAAAAATCCCTATTCCTTTACCATAAAACACTGATTTATTTATTTATTTATTACACTTCATGTAAAATTTACATTGGCGGACTTAATGCCTAAGGCATTCTCTACCAGTCAACCAAAGCTAGTAGTGCAGAGTGAATAGTGGTATGTGCAATGAAATTTATATTAATTTACAAATACATACACACAAAAAAATGTATGTACATAAATATATACACAATCACATATACATACATATATACATACATACACAAATACATATATACATACATATAATAAAGATTATGCTCACAATATACTCACAAACGATTGTTATTTTTCCGAATACGAGTATACGCGGGTACCATATACGAGCGTCAATTCGTCGTCATGGGTTAAAAAATTAAAATCACTTATTTTACGGACACACTAATTTATTAAACGATTTGATATTTTCTTGAACTATAAAATACCAATTTCTTCTACAGGTGAATACGCTGGTTTCGATGAAAACGAGCCAACATCGAGATCCGGCGGCAAAGGTTTAGTGGTGAGACGACTGAAGGAACTGCACGGGTACCAGCGCCTGGTGATCGTCGGGGACGGGGCTACCGATGCCGAGGCTAGCCCACCTGCTGACGGCTTCATTGGTATGTTCTGTAGCTTTTCTTTTTCTTATGAATGAGAGGTTACGTGTAAGCCAAGAGGCCTTTCTAGTTTCACCAGGACAGGTGAGCGAGCAAAGGCCTTTTTTATTTTTTTTTTATTGCTTTATTGCTTAGATGGGTGGACGAGCTCACAGCCCACCTGGTTTTAAGTGGTTACTGGAGCCCATAGACATCTACAACGTAAATCCGCCACCCACCTTGAGATATAAGTTCTAAGGTCTCAGTATAGTTACAAGGGCCACCCCACCCTTTAAACCGAAACGCATTACTGCTTCACGGCAGAAATAGGCGAGGTGGACCACGAGACCTACCCGTACGGGCTCACAAGGGGTCCTACCATCAGTAATAGCTCAGCCAGAAGGGGTGAAATTTCCTAACAGCTGCCCGAGCGCCTCCAAAGGAGATCTAACAACTTAAGAGCAGTCGGTTCGCAAATGAATCTACTACCAGATAGGAATTGCGACCCGCTGAGAAGATCCGGCGAGATACTCAGCTGGCTGTTGCATGGGTTAGGTTGAACGTTGAACTCTTAGCGAGCTGAAGGCATCTAATGCAAGAATTATTGGATCTGATGGACCCTCAAGGACGTGTCTAGGGCGTCGAGGGTGACTGGCTTCTGCGTGATCAGGATTCGGGGGAGTTCTGTAACAGTTGAAGATACTTGTCGTATATGTTGTGGACGTTAATGTTTTTAGGTTTGCCGGAACTGATTTTGTGTGTTTGTAGGGACAGCCGCTATGTAATAAAATTGGGTCTTCGAGTCTTAGTATCAATTTAAAGAAACCTTAGTCCCCGATTGAGCATCTACGAAATATATACTACAATATTTATTGGCATTATATCATTAATGACAATCAAACTAAACAACTCATTTGAGTCTGAACGTTGACTGTGAAAAAATACAGCATTTATTATTTTTATGTCGGTCTAAAACATTATAATGATTTATTTAATGAGTAATGCGAACAGTGTTCGCACATGTTTATAAATGACTAGACGGGGTTATCGATATTGCCCTTTGCAAATCTTAATAACTCTGTGAGTTCTAAGGCGGTCGTTTGAAAGGAGTACCTCGTTAAATCCAGAGCTTAGAATCAAAGAGACCCGTACAAACAAGTTGCCAAAGTTAATACATAGCACGCAGCTGCCTGCGACCATTAGCGACAATGAACACTTAACGATCTACCATCAACTGGGTGGTATGCTAATCTACCTACAGCATATAAGTTTTAATTTGTTTAACACCTTGGATGCGACATGTAAAATCATAAGCCTCTGGTGCTATGGTGGGTGGTGGGGATGAATAATATATGTATGTGGGATTTTTTATTCAGGTTGGGCCATTGAAACAGTTGATAACTTCACACAAACTTGATTTTTATTACGTCTTTCTAAATCTATGTAACTAAAATATAAACATCTTACGTCTTCAGAGGTGCTTCAGAGTTACACCCCGTCTGTCTGCCGTCGTGTCCAGTAACTACCTTCCTCTCACTTAAAAAATAAAACTATGTGTTCTGCATTCATTTGCCGTCTTTCTTACTTCGTAACACGACATCTCCTATCTCTCTTACTCAGTCATGCTCCATATCTATCATTCATCCAAACCGTACCGTCCCGTACATGTATTATCAATATAACGATATTACCATCAGTGCGTGGCCGGTCTTTCTCGACCCACAAGCATTAGGGTAGTTTAAAAATGCTATAACTTTGTGAAAACATACTGTATACTATTTATAGTATATAGTTTTCGGTATTGAACTCCTACATACACATGAAATCATCGGTCCGCACCAGCGAAAGGGACATGGTTTTCTTCATCCGCACCAGCTGAGTGTACCACGGAGGCCTATATGGCAGCTGAGTGTACCGCGGAGGCCGATATGGGCCTATTCCGCAGTGAAGGTGTTAAAATTCTCTTTCATTAAAATACGACCAAAAATAAACTCTAACGTCTGTCTTATAAAGGTAATTGTCCTTTGCAGGCTTCGGGGGTAACGTGGTGCGTGACGAAGTCAAGAAGAAGGCAGCTTGGTACGTCACGGACTTCCAAGAGCTGATAGATTCCTTCACCATACAGACCAAGTCTTAGTGGGGAGTACAGTGACCTTATAGGACTCATACAGTTTGCATGCTTCAAATTACTTTATCGACATTAGACTAATTTCAATATTAGTAAATACTAAATATGTCTTATAGATTGATTTTTATATTAGCGGCCATAGGTCGTGTAGTTTGAATTTAGTGAATTTTGATGTTGACATCTTAAGATTTTTAGTACTTCAAATTGCTTTCATGACTAGCTCCTAAACTAGTCTAGTGTAGACTAGCAGTTATGACTTCATTTAAAGTTTTAACGGAAATTGACAACGTTCAAACCGATTCGGGAATGAATTAGGTGTTGCTAGTGTTCAAATCTAAATTTTACCAACAGTTATAGTGAAACGTGTGAAATTTTATTTATTTAATCCAATAATAAGTATATTTTAATAAACTTGTAAAAAAACGTGGTAATTTACACTGTGATGTAACATCGCCTTAAATATTATTTGTATATGATAATAGTTATTAAGATACAATATTTTAATTAAATGTACTATTAGTAATATTTGGATTTTTTGTGTCATTTAACTAGTATATTTTGCTGTATAAATTTCAAAACAGAACGTAGCACAGTCTTTTAACTGGAACCTGTATTTCGATTGTGCATTTATAATGAAATTCTTTTAGTAAAATTCTAACACACATTTTACATTGTGATCGTACTTTAAGTACAAAAAATTAAGCTTGTTTTTGTTTGTTAGTGTTTCGGGGACTTAGTCCTTTTTGGATTAATTTTTTTTTAAACGAAATTCTATTTTTATGTTGTCGGATGTGTAATATTTAGGATTAATTACATTGTAGTAGTCAATTATAATGTTTTGTAATACAGGGTGCCGCGAGGGTAAAACGCAATTGTGCTCAAAACGTAAGCGAGAAACAATACTCATTTTTTGAGCGTGTATTTGTCGTTTTAGCAGGTAATCTAAACTGAGGGTAGAAATGAAAACCGCTCCTCGAGAGCGTAGAGACCCTTTCAGCCGATTTGCAATACATTGCGTGCTGATGCGAACCAACTGAAATGCGAAGTGTTATTTTAAGGCAATTAATGAATAATAGCCGACGTAACCTAATAGGTGTATGGCTCTAATAAAGAATATAATAATAATAATGAATAATGAAAATATTGGTGAACGGTTAAATTCCATAATATGTTACGAAATTGGATTGTGTTGCCAACACAAAAAGTTGGCATCTAAAACACCGGAATTGTTGATTGTTAAAAACGGCTGTGTACTTCTTATGCTCTAAGTTTTTGTAATTAAACGAATAAAATTTTAATATCATGATGTGATTGAATTGATTTTTACTCTGAAAACGTTCTCCCAAGTTTGATATGTGGTTATAGTGTAATTAAAATTTAGGAATGGGCAGATGGTGGTATTAACGTGTACGGCCCAGTGGAGTGAGTGATCGAGCTCACGCTAGACCTGTATGCTTAGTTTATTTTATTTTTTTATTTTTTTATTGCTTAGATGGGTGGACGAGCTAACAGCCCACCTGATGCTAAGTGGTTACTGGAGCCCATAGACATCCACAACGTAAATGCGCCACCCACCTTGAGATTTAAGTTCTAAGATCTCAAGTTCTGTTACAACGGCTGCTTCACTCTTCAAACCGAAACGCGTTACTGCTTCACGCCAGAAATTGGCAGGGTGGTGGTACCCACCCGCGCGGACTCACAAGAGGTCCTACCACCAGTAACAGCGCCCCTAGCGGCAAACGTACGCAAACGATCCCACTCCATACAAATATGAGCTAGCTATCGAGAACTTTAAAAAAACTCGCACTAAGCAAACTGGTGTTAGGTTGTTACCAGAACCCGTAGATATTGAAAGGTGAATGCCACCACCATTGAGGTCGAAATTTCTCGAAGAAGGTGTACAGTGTCTGCACATTCAACAGAACGTATGCTTTCTTCGCGGCAGAAATAGGGGTGTAATATCGACGCGGCGGGCGCTTTTTTTTTATTGCCCTTGTAGGCAGACGAGCGTACGGCCCACCTGATGGTGAGTGGTTACCGTCGCCCATAGACTTCAGCAATGCCAGGGGCAGAGCCAAGCCGCTGCCTACCGCTTAATGCTCTCCACAAGCCTCGTTTGAAGAAGGACATGTCATAGCGCTCGGGAAACACCGTGGAGCTCCCCGCTCATTCCATAGCCGGATGGTACGTGGCAGAAACAGTACGGGCCTTAAAAACGCCAACTAGTTTAATACGAAATCGATATTCGTTCAACCAACGAAATGATGTTCTTAACAAACTTTGCCTGGTGTGTTTCTTGAGGCGCGCTCATCAAAAATATTTACGTCGCCGCCGCTCTGAACGATAATCGAAAGAGATTTTGTTACGTTAACATGAAGTTATAACTTATTAATTATATCGAGGGGTGACTATTTGGTTTAAATGACATTTTTGCAACTTTAGAGGAGAGCCATTTAAAGTTTAAAATTTGAAAAAAATATCATAATAAAAAAATGTTCTTCCGCTATTTCAATGGACTAAGCTTAATTGAAGTTCATTAAAAACATCGAACTGTTGATGCTAATACTAAATAAAACGCACTTTTAATTACAAAGATAAATGTCGCGTATTGAGCGTATATGTCGCTTAAACCAAATACCCTTTCACCACTCGATTTGATATATACAATAAATGGGTACCGTCTTGAAATCCGTCCGTAATCCCTAGGTCGTATTACAAGGGGCTTACACAGCGTATCCAGAGGTGATAATCCTTTATTTATTTAAAAATATACAAAAGGTTTTTCGCTAGTAAGCTATCATCGGGTACGCCTGTTGTATTTTAAAGCAAAAAGCACTTAACGCAATTGCTCGTACGCATTTGAACGCGTTGGAATAATAACGCAATTATTCCAACCAGTAGCTACTACGGGCAGATAAATGAACCAGATAGATAGATATAGATATCATAGCTACTAACTACATGCCCAAATGGTAAATAGTCGACGTCGCCCAAAGCACGTCATTACGGATACTCACGATCCATTAACGGTGCTTTTAGGTATCACAATCACCGATCACTGTCCTCGTTGAAACCGTCGCTTGCGACGTACGGCTCGACGAGCGAATTAACCCATAGACACAACCCACTGAGTTTCTCGCCGGATCTTCTCAGTGGGTCGCGTTTCCGATCCGGTGGTAGATTCTGCGAAGCACTGCTCTTGCTAGGGTCAGTGTTAGCAGCACTCCGGTTTGAGCCCCGTGAGTTCACTAGGGCGAAGCTGAAATAGCCTCTCAAGGCTATCAGAATAGGTAGGAGAAAAAAAAAGGTACTAGAACTATCTTAGTACTATTAGTCGTAGCTCGTAGGTAATAATAGTATATGCTTCGGTTTTATCAGTCGTATATATAAATGTAAATCTCGCATTTCTCATTTTCACTTGATCATTTTCGACGTTTTGAATACTTCACCATTTTCTTGTCGTAGACAATTAACCTCTTATTAGTTGATATTTCAATTTTGTTTTATTTACCGTCAAATGTTCTTGGTTAGTTTCTTTGTTCGAAAGCTCGGAAACGCGACATTAACTTTTGAAAATAATTTAAATTACGCTTATATATATGGCGTTATTAGGTAGGCAAGCTCAAGGTCCATCTAATGCAAAGTGGCCATCGGACCTCATAGCCAGCATACCACCACCCCCATTGAAAAAAAAGGGTGCGTGTACTTACGTACGCGCGTAAGAAGTTATACTTTATTTTTATTAAATTTATTTCTTTTTTTTATTTAAATTTTAATTAATTTGAAAAAAAAATCGATTAAGCAACATCCTCAAACACGCATATTGGACATTCCTTTTTTTGACATCGTATAAAATCGGTAATTCTCGGTACGGTTCGGAAAGTTCACCTGCGGCTATATTCAGACTCGCCAAGTTACGTTGGTCGTATTGTAATGAGCGATTTAGTGGGCGACTTCATTCTGTTAATTTTGTGTCACAGTGCGCGCGCATCGTAAAATTTCACTCTCATCAATTTTTCATAACGCGCCTCTTTAGGCGCGTTATGAAAAATATATAATAGATACTTCTTTAAGTATAACTTCAAAAATTCGAAGTTTCAATTTTGAATATCGGCTGTTTCACTTTAGAATCTGAAACACGTGACCGTCTCGCGAGAGAAATGTACAGAATGGTAATTACCACACGTGCAAGTCCCCAATACGACGCACCAGCTGTCAACGCCTGACAATATCTCCTGAGCGCAGTATGCCTGGTGAAATACTTTAAAAAAAACCTTCTGTCAATTCTGCGATGTATTTTACGATATACGCATTTCACAAGACCGACATCACACAGCCAAAATAATAATAAAAATTTTAGCAGTTCTTTCCAGCCGTAGACATGGTTTAGTTTATATTTTGAGTGCCTTCAATTGGCTAATACATACGTGATGGTTACATTCTGAAAATAGATGTCGGTGAACTGTCACCGGTGTCTGGCCAGCGAAGAGATTTGCGATTGAACTTCAGTATATATATATATATATATATGTATGTATATATATATATACACGTACTTTGATAATCAGTTATGAAATTATAGTTCTTGGGGAAAAAATTAGGTCGCACGTATTTAAAGTTTACTATTGTAATCCGTCTGTTTGTTTTTGGTTCTGGTTTTCCGTGTAATACGATAAAACTGTAGAAATTTGAAAAAAAGTCTTCCAGGGAAATTCGCGTAATCAAAAAAATATTTAAAATCGCCTACCTTAGCAAAACACATCAATTAGGTATATAATAGTTACGGAAAACTACATTAAGCAATTTTGTTTACTTGCAAGTAAACATATTTCTCAGTTACTATGATTTAAAAACCAAACCAGTGATATATGTACAAAGCTGAAATAAAAACTTAGCTTTCAAATAATAATACAAAAAATTTAAATCGATTAATAGCTGACGGAGTTCGCCTATCAAGTACACAGAGCCTTTTTTTTTTGTATTGCTTAGATGGGTGGACTAGCTCACAGCCCACCTGGTGTTAAGTGGTTACTGGAGCCCATAGACATCCACAACGTAAATGTGCCACCCACCTTTGAGATATAAGTTCTAAGGTCTACGGAGTACGTATTTCATTAGAAAAATTGGTACCCGCCTGCGGGATTCGAACACCGGTGCATCGCTCAACACGAATGCACCGGACGTCTTATCCGCTAGGCCACTTCAAATTCCCCTAGAGGCCAATTACATAAGGAAAAGAACGTTTTTTTTTTATTGCCCTTGTATGCAGACGACCACACGGCTCACCTGATGGTGAGTGGCTACCGTCGCCCATGGACTTCAGCAATGACAGGGGCAGAGCCAAGCCGCTGCCTACCGCTAAATATAGCTAAATATATTGAATGAAAATTATGAATTTTATATTAAGCCGTAAAATACCTTTAATTATAAAATAAAGTAGTTCAGATTGTCATACGTATAACGATGAAGACAGATGCTCACGATTTTGACAAACAATAATAATTAATTACCGTCTGTAGTCAACCAACATTCTCTTAGTGCCAAGTTCTTTTATTCTGAATAGTGACGTCTCAGAAGTAATGTAAAAGTCAACCTTATCTGTTAACCCAGACAGTCGAGCCAATGATCCACCTGATTTTGAGTGATTACCATTGGTAATGAACATTCGAAGACGTCCGGTGCATTTGTATCTAGAGATGCACCAATGTTCGAATCCCGCTGACAAGTACAAATTATAATAAAATACGTACTTAACAAATGTTCACGATTGACTTCCACGGTGAAGGAATAACATCGTGTAATAAAAATCAAACCAGCAAAATTATAATTTGAGTAATTACTGGTGGTAGTACCTCTGGCACGAGTAGGTACCACCATCCTGTCTATCTCTGCCACGAAGCAGTAATGCGCTTCGGTTTGAAGGGTGGGGCAGCCGTTGTAATTATACTGAGACCTTAGAACTCATATCGTAAGGTGGTGGCATTTACGTTGTAGATATCTATGGGCTCCGGTAACCACTTAACACCAGGTGGGGTGTGACTTCGTCCACCCATATGAGCAATAAAAAAATAAAAAAAGGTAGTTAACATCAGCTTACTAGGGGCACACCCAAGCCGCCAATCAACCTACAACTTAACCTAGAGTTTGTTTATGCTACAGTTTTTAATTTTGTTTTCGATACCATTACGAATGTCACTGCGTATAATGAGATATAAGATCGGAGCAATATTTACTTTGATACGCTTAAATATAATTGGTTATGACGCAAACCTAATATGCCCTGTTGTCGATTTCCATGTTTCGACAATGACCATTT